AGTCATTATCCCACTCTACTCAGCACTTGTCAGGCCACACCTGGAATACTGTGTTCAGTTTTGGTCCCCGCTATACAAAAGAGATGTGGACAGGCTGGAGGGGGTCCAGAGAAGGGCCACAAAGATGATCAAAGGACTAGGAAGCCTGCCATATGAGGAAAGGCTGAGAGAACTGGGTTTGTTCATCCTTGAGAAAAGAAGGCTTAGGGGAGACCTTATCGCCATGTTCTAGTATTTAAAGGGTAGCTACAAAGAAGATGGAGACTCTCTTTTTACAAGGAGTCACATGGAAAAGACAAGGGGTAATGGGTACAAGTTACTCCTGGGGAGATTTCGATTGGACACGAGGACAATTTTTCACAATGAGAACAATCAGCCATTGGAATAATCTCCCCAGGGAAGTGGTGGATTCCCCAGCATTGGACACTTTTAAGATTCGACTGGACAGGGTGCTGGGCCATCTTGTCTAGACTGTGCTTGTGCCACAAAAGGTTGGACCAGATGATCGTTGAGGTCCCTTCCAACCTGGTATTCTATGATTCTATGATATGATACTCTCTTATTAATTGGCAGTAAGTTAAATTTATTTCCCCAAGTCAAGCCTGTTTTGCCCGTGACGGGAAGTGCTGAGTGATCTCCCTGTCCTTATCGCGACCCACAAGCCTTTTGCCTATTTTCTCTCCCCCTGCCCAGTTAAGGAGAGGGAGTGACAGAGTGGCTTGGTGGACATCTGGTGGCTAGCCAAGGTCAACCCACCACAATCACCTAGAAGCAATTTTTTTCTTAAATCTGTTGAATATTTTTCCAATAAAAAAAACAAAATAAACATTTTAATTCTAAAACTGTTCAATATAAAACCACACACCACCAGCTGCCTCCAGACCTCAGGCAAGTTGGTCAGACCCAATTCATGTAACACCAATTTTTCCCAACCACCCACAAGGATCAAGGCCTCAGTTCTCTAAGAACTGCACATATATACATAATAAACTCCCAAAGGATTTGCCATTTGCTATGAATATAAAGATATTATTGTGATTTTGGCTTTATTTTTTAGGGTTACTAATCTGGCCAGTTACAGTTATTGGCAGCACTCTCACTACTGATTTGTATACTCGTGTAAAAAATCATCAGCTGATTTTTAAACTATTGAAAACCAAAATGTATCCTAGTTGGTCTGGTAATTAGTACCTGGAGATGTTAAAAGTATTAAGACAAAAACCACATAAATATTTGATAAATATTTCCATTTAGTATCATGTTTTTCCCACCAGTAACTGAAAAGATACTATCCATATCTACTTCAGATAAGTATTTTTAACTGAGGAGGAACTGTTGTGAGCTCTGTGTTTTTGTACATCATGAAAAGACAAAGAAATTCCAGAACACTAGAAGGACAAATAAGTTATTAAAATATTTTTTAAAAGAGACTTGCATGAGCCTTGCTAAACCATGCAATATGACAGAACATCTTTCAAATAGTCTTTTTAGGTCACACCTAAAGAAATCTGACAACTTTTTGCCAAGAATTCTGATTGATAAAGCACATATATACTTTATACACAAAAATATACACATGTATTTATGAATAAATATGTATAAAGGTAGATCATAGAAATACATACAAATATACACACAAACTTCTGATGACTGAGTTGCTGTTTCATCCTTTTGAACTTTCAAAATACATTATAAAAATATATATTCTAAACTAGGTGACTGACAGATCTTATTGATGAGGAATTATTAAATGGACATTTAAAAAAATCTGAGTGCAGTATAAACTTAATGCTATCCCATTATCCAGGTCTTGTAAATATGAAATGACTGGTGATGACATTTCAAGATGAGACAAGAACTATGGTTTGAAAGTTTACGTGGGTTTCTGACATTATGATGCTTGAGGGTCTCAAACCAAAAATAATTAAATTACAGAAGTGCTCCATTAAATATTTAAAGGGTTTCAATGTTAGCATCTTAAACTGGTAAACTCCATGGTGCACACATGCATATATACACAAAGTCATAAGCAACCCAGAGCCATGTGCTAAAGAAACTAAAAATAACTTGTGTGCTCTCATAATTAATGAGATTTCTAATTCAAATGCAAAGTAATATGGGATACATTATTCAGTAACTACAAAGATATTAAATCAGTTCTTACACTGCACTGGACAAGTATCATAAACAAGATAAAGGAAACTATCATAGCACTGTAAACTATTTAGTCATGTCACAACTGTACCTGTATATATTTTGCAATTTTTAATTTTCATTTTTGGCTACTCCTACACTTTTTGATCTTTTTCAGTACCATAAAAAATATGACTGTGCATATTCACTAGGCACAGGTGAATATGAGTGAGCACGCAGTATGAAATCTAGATCACAGTCAAGCCAATGACCTTTAAACAATTGATATTTTAGGGCCATAATGTATTATTAGAACAGATGTCTTAGACTTACAAAAGTAATTAAAGAATGGAGCAGAGACATTTTACATTTTCAAAGTTTATTTTAGTCTTTGGAAAAATCTCTTACAGAGGTAAAATTTCAAAGTAGAAAAATGAAAGAGAAGACAATCAGCAAATGAACTAAATCTAGAGGGTGAAATTGTTGGTGTAATTCCTGAAGTTAGGGTAGCAATCTACTTAAACAAGTGTTAACAAAAACTGTTTATGTTACATGTTACATATGTTATATGCCTTGCAAATAATTCTCTAGATAAATATAAATTCATCTTGATGGCTAACGGCTCTTTTCTAAGTGCCACAAAAAAAGAATCAGATTCAAAATTAAGGGATGAAATACAAGGATCATTGTTCTTAATTACAAATGGTTAGTCAAACAGGAGAAACAACCAATATTTGCTGTTAACATCTGGGCAGGCAATTTGACTTCCAGCCTACTGATTTTCTGAAAAGAAAATTATATTATTTTGTGTATTTTGAAAACAAAATAGG